CTATGCCCGCATGTCTGTGAATGACCAAGTGCTGTGAGTATTGATTTTGGTTTTACAAATAAAATTTAGCCAGTAGGTGAATTTGCAAATGCAGATTCCACCAATAATGAGGAGATATATCTACACTAATAAAAGAGAAACATGGTAATTGGCGTACGACCGCTACCCTTCCCATTGGCTAATCAGCATATCCTTATGCAAATTAACTGTCAGCCAAGATGGCGGCCGGCAGCCAGGCAGCTGGAAGCAAACATGAGGCTTGCTTGCTCCAGGGACTGCAGACTCCAACGTTCCCCGCCTGACTTGCCGGCCTCTGAGCTGGCAGTTTGAAACATTCTAACAAATATAGGCCGGGATCTCAGAGCTGAAGTTATACATTGTTTCGATTATAGAACCGAAACAAACCAGATACCTGCTCTCAGAGCTAGAGCCAGAGCTAAAGCTGGCCCAGAATAAAATAAAAAAAAGGAGCAGATGGGAGCTTCAATCAACAACCGCCAGCCTGAAAGCAGCCCTCAGCCCCTCATCCAGACTGGCCAGGCACCCCAGTGGGGACCCCCACCCTGATCCAGGACACCCTTCAGGGCAAACCAGCCAGCCCCCAGGCCTCTATCCTATATAGTAAAAGGGTAATATGCCTCCCAGCACCGGGATCAGTGGAGCCGCGAGGCCTCCTGGCACCGGATCAGCGTGACAGGGGGCAGCGCCCAAACCCCCTGATTGCCCTGTGGCTCTGTGTGTGACAGGGTGCGGCATCCCAACCCCCTGATCGGCCCTGCTCTGTGTGTGACAGGGTGCGGCGCCCCAAACCCCCCCCCCCCCCACCGGCGCTGCTCTGTGTGTGACAGGGTAGAGCCATAACCTCCCCATCGGCCCTACCCTGGGTGTTACAGGGGGAGCGCCCCCACCCCCATCGGCCCTGCTCTGTGCGTGACAGGGGGTGACGCCGCAACCTCCCCATCGACCCTGCCTTGAGTGTGACAGGGGGCAGTGCCCCAACCCCCCAATCAGCCATACTCTGAGCGTGACTGAGGGTGGCATCGCAACCTCCCAATCCGCCCTGCTCTGTGCATGACAGGGGGCGGCGCCCCAACTCCCCAATCAGCCCTGCTCTGAGCCCGACCAGGGGCTGCACCTAGGGATTGGGCCTGCCCTCTGCCACCCGGGAGCAGGCCTAAGCCAGCAGGTCGTTATCTCCCGAGGGGTCCCAGACTGCAAGAGGGCACAGGCCGGGCTGAGGCCCCCCCCTTCCCCCGCCCCCGAGTGCACAAATTTTTGTGCACTGGGCCTCTAGTATATATATATACACCAGCCATTTTGCATCCTATCTTAATTATCACCACAGCCTTGTGGAATAGGCGTTCTCACCACGATTCTACGATTTCACAGTTGAGATTCCCTCCCTCACCCAAGTTCTCAGAGCAGTGGAGGCCAGACGAGGATCTAGATCCAGGGACTATGGGGCTTGCATTTATTTTGATCCATCACGCTGGATGTGAGAGAGCAGTGCATTGTCAAAACACAGCTTTAAATATGGAAATACAAAAATGACGCAAGTGTCGGTGGGAGGCCAGGGAAGACTGGGATGGGTTGAAGGACCCAGGAAGCTTCCCGGAAGAGATGCCTTTGAGTGGAGCCTGGAAGGAGGGTTAGCCTTGGGAGAGTGAAGAGGCGGAGGGCAGGTGGGGTCTGGGGCACACGGCGGGTCCATGTGCCAGGCAAGTGTGGACTTTGAGGTCCCGGAGCGGGAGGCGCCGGGCCTGGCGGGGCTGGGCCGGCGGGGCTGGAGGTCGAAGCTGAAGATAAGATCCGAGAGGCAGGGCGGGGCCGCGTGGTGCGCGCGCGCGAATTCCAGGCTTGGCCGGTGGACTTTACACCGTAGACAATGGGGAGCCGCCGGCGTTTCTGAGCAGGGCAGGGCGGCCCCTGTGTCACCCATTGTTTTTCCCCCAGATTGGGCCGAACCCTGCAATACTTCAGCGAGGCCACTAGATGGAGATATTTTAGCAAATTTAAACCGCAGGGCCTCTGCACACCCCGCGGCGAGGAAAACAAACGCCGGGGCCGCGCCAAGCTTCCGCGCGCGTTTACTCGCAGCGTGCGCAACGTGAAATGCGGGGATCGTGTAACCAAATCAAATTAGGGGCATCATTCAGCTTTACCTGGCCGGGAAACCCCAGGTAACTTCACAGCTTTGAAGGCGAAGGGTTCAGAGTGAGCAGGAAAGGCCAGACAGTTCTGACACGTACCCTGCGTACATTATCTAGCATTTAAGTCTCATTGCAGCCCTTCCAAGTAGGTGCTGTTAACCCATTTTTACAGGCAAGGAAACAGGTGCAGAGGGGTACATTTGCTCAATTCTTTACCGAGCTGACCCCAGACTAGGCAGGGGAAAGAGTTGATACCATGTGGTAAGAGGTGGGCTGGGCAAACCCCTGGCACATTGCTTTGCTGGGCCCAGGGTCCCTTTTGCTAAGGGTTGGGCGTTGCCTTTAGATCCTACTGTGGCTGCGAGGAAAACCGGTAGCACGGATGATGAGCGCAACTGGACTCCTACCATTTGTACGATTCCGGGTGATTTTTAGAAATAGCCTCAATGAATTCTCTCATAATCCAGTGAGTTAGGGATTAGCACACACCCATTTTACAGATAAGAAAACAGATTTAGAGAGGTGAAATGAGTCGCCCAGGGTCTCACAGGGAGTCAGCATCAGAGGGGGATTGGATCTCAGGTATGCCTACTTCTGCCCTACGACTAACAACAAAATACATTTGACTTCTGCATAAATTTCCAAGAGAAATGTGGATGCCCAGAGACACACAAAGAGTTTTCAAATCAAAGAATGGTGGTTTGTAATAAAAAAAAAAAAAAAAAAAAGGGAAACGACCTAAATGACCACCCCTAAAGGAATGGACATATAAAATTTGTTATAAAGGGTTCATAGAGTGGAATATTATGCAGCTTAAATTAAAAGGAATAAACTAGTTCTCTTATATACTTATCAACATGGATAGATTAAAAAAACATAATGGTGAAAAAGGCAAGACACAGAACAATATGAATCCTATGTACCATTTATGTAAATTAAAATACACAAAACAATGTAAAATGCTGAATATGGATAGGTAAGCTAAACTCAAATTAACAGGAAATCTGTGGGACTTGGGTAGTAGATAAGGGGACTTATAGCTTTATGGTTTGTTTCTTTTTTCTTCTTTATTGATTTGAGAGAAAGAGGGAGAGAGAGGGAGAGTGATTTGCCAGTCCACTCATTTATGCCTTCACTGGTTGTTTCTTATATGTGCTCTGACTGGGGAATGAACCCACAACCTTAGCATATTGGGCCGATACTCCAACCAACTGAGCTACCTGGCCAAGGCTTATGTTTATTTCTTAGAAAAAACAAACAAACCCTAGAAGCTAATATGGGAGTGGGAATATAGATAACTGTTAAATTATTTGTATTTCTTTATCTGCTTTAATTTTTGCACAAGATAATTTGGGCAAACAAATAAATACAAAGATAGAATAGTACAAAAATCCAAATAATTTTTTGATTTGAAGATGGGGGTTGCCAGTGCTCTGGGATGGCATGAGAGGAACACAGATTTTAGCGCTGGGAAGCACAGGCCTAGACTCTGTTGTTAAGGGAATGTGGCTGATGGGATCCAACTCCTGGCATCCCACAGAAGGTCCCACCACCTGTGACTGCCCTCCCCACCAGGGAGAGACCGTGGGAACTGCACAAGAAAGACAGAGGGGACCAGGAGGAGGTGCAGGGGCCTGGGGAAGATATATTCCACTGTGGGGTCAAGATGGCTGGGTGTGGCCACATCCTCTGCTTCTCTTCCTCCCTCCCTTTCCTTTCTTCATTTTCTCTGAACTCATGGTCACATAAGAACATTTAATGTGTCCTTGAGTGGCCACACCTACTTTCCAGCACCAGGTGCTCCAACTGGGAACTAAGGGCAATTCTCACTTTGCCCATCTCCTTTGGCTGAGGTGACAAGCATGTAAAGTCGTGAGTGCTAATGTTCTTTGGAAACTGTCAATCACCACAGAGAAATAGAGAGAAATAAGGCCTTACTGCCTTTTCTCTTCCTTTACATTGGTTGCATTACACCAATAATACGGGATACATATAGAGCCTAGTACTTGCCTTGCACTGGCTCATTGTCCACTCATTTATTGCTCATGACAGCT